CTGAGCCAATCTCCTGACATGAACCCCATCGAAAACCTCTGGGCCATACTCGACCGGCAAGTCAAGAAACAACCAAAAAACCCAACTTCGAAGAGCGATCTACTCCAAGATTTGAAGCAACAGTGGGCGAAAATACCACAATCTAAAATTGATGAGGTGATTCTCACGATGCCCCAAAGGATCAACGAACTCCACGAAGCGAAAGGAAGATCTATTAGATATTAATTAAATTATAAATATATCAATTCATGTAAATATGACTGAAAATTTTCATTTTTTCTGAAAAGGTGGTGTCTATTTACTTGTGACCACGCTGTGTATATGTTTTCTACCTCTTTAATTTGAAAAGTATTTTTTTAATTCTGTATTTTTCATAATTCCCTGGTTGGAACTCGGTTAAGTGTGGATTAGGCACCTTTTTTATTTTCTTGTAGGAATAACAACGTGCTTTTTATTTAATGAGCTGAGTTATTCTTGTCAGCAAATCAGAAAATAGTGGAATCACCCTTGATCTTCACCAACCATTGACTAAATGGTCTATCAGACACCAATCACTGTTTTCTTGTGACAGAAACTCGAGAGGTTATTCCCATGTATAAGACATTTTGGGGGCCTGAAAGAACAAAATTTGAAGTAATTTTTTAGAGATTTTCAGCAGATTGTTTTAACATCTCTTTAGAGATTTTCAGTAGTTTTTTAGACTATTTTGAGCACAGAATAGTTATAAGATTTTATTGAAGAATGCACATGGATTTCCATTTAGACTTTACCCTTCACATGTTGGTACCCTTTTCTGCACATGTCACACTACCTTTTATACAGAATTACATTCAAAATTTATTTAAACTATTTTATTATAAATATATAAGAATACACTTTGTTAATAGATCAAATTTTTATACTATATGAATTTTAAGTTCGTAATTTTATAACGTAATGTTTAAAACATCCCCAATCTTCCCTAGTATAAGAATTGTTACATTTGCTCTCTAGGTCTCTCCTCTTCTCTAATTTATTTACCCCCCCCCCACTCCCGAGAAGTACGGAATTTAAAGTAGATTATTTATAATAATACAGTTATTACTCGCGCAGAGCATAATTTTCATATCCTTTTAATTTCATTTGTTTATGGAGCCATAAACTAGAAACTCGAATCCACTTGCAATGCCCACCTGTCACATCCTCTTTTCAAAAATTACCAATAGTTCTCTCTGACATTTAATACTATATTATTTATATCTAATAGAAAGCCAAAGTTTTAATCTATCAAATGACATATTATATTATGTTGTTTTCTGTATAGAGAATTGTGTATTTCACTTCCAGTTCGAAATTGTATTCCCACTGGAAACACTTTGACTAGCCCAGCTGCATTTTCAACAGCTCATATTACATTATTAGAAAATCAGGAAAATTATGATAGTTATAAGACATTGTTTTTTTACATATTATTTTGTGTTCTTAGGTGCACTAAATTATTTAGTGTAGTTGTACCATTAATATAAAAATGTAGGCTTAAGTTTCATTTACAATTATTATTATAAAGGTAACTAAAATGTAAAAATAAGAAACTTGTGAGGTTAGATATGGTTAACATGGGTAAGATAATAAAAAAACTGATAATAGAAATTCTTCACAAGAGAACCTTATGGTTTATGACTTATGCCTTGAAGATGTTGGACTCTATTTCCAATCTGGGGCTTCAGCTCTCCCCAGGGCATTCTGCACTTTGCGAGTCCAGAGTCTATACACTGAGTCCCACGAATCTCATCTTCACCTCAGCTGTTTGCAACTTTCTTTACAATATGCTACAAAGCTTCGATTGTGGGGTTGTGTCTTTCTTCCTCGGTGGGCTATGCTCTTTCAGAACAGATGGTCTGCCATTCTTTCTTTTGGCCTTCATATCCAGGCACAGCTGGCTGAATTGGGTCTGTCATTGGATGAGGTTGTTAAGTCCATCTCGCCATAGCTCATTACCATCATCTGAAGAAAGCGGATACTCCCGATTGGAAGTACCATCTTCTTTTTGCCGGAAATTTATCGAACCATTCTTCTGTTACCGTTTTTACGGATGGTTCGAAATCAAGTGACTCTGTGGGCTCTGCCATGGTTTGTTGTGGCTCGGTTGTTGCTCACAGGATCCCCTCTACAGTTTCTGTGTTTACTGCCAAGTTGTATGCCATCTCTCTTGCCTTGGATCACGTTGAAGCTAAGCAGTATACTGACTGTATTATTTACACCAATTCTCTTAGCTGGCTACTGGCTCTGGAATTGCTTAACGTTAGTTTTCACCCTGTTCTCGTCGATATTACAAAACGACTGGCCCATTTTTCTCTATCTTCAGTTGGCAGTCGATTTGGAGTGAGCAACGTCATAACAAGCTTTTCGAGATCAAATCTTCTGTTGTTCTTTCGCCGTCTTGTTTCCGTAAGGATCGGAAAGAGGAAGTTGTCTTAGCTAGGCTACGCATTGGACACAGTTTTGTAACTTATTGTTTTCTTTTATGTTGACGTTTTTTTTCTTGACGTTGGATGGTGCCATTGGCTATGGTGGAACTGTCCAACTTGATCGTGTTTTTAGCTTTTTGCAGGCCATTGCCCTTTTTAATTCTATTTAGGTTTTTTTCTCTGATTTTGGGGGTTTGTTTAGTTTTTAACTAGATTTATTTTTACATTTTCTAGTATTTTACTTTTGATATTTTTACCAGTTGTTTGCCTTGTTGCTTTGCCCCAAAAAACAAAACAAAAACGCCAACCAATCAACCAACAAACAATAGAGAACAAGGACACGAAGTAACTAGAAAAAGATAACCTTAACGACTATTTTGACCACGTTTCCCGGCTTATAACGTTAAAAACCAGGGTTCGATACCAATGATAGGCATAGAACAGAATGCCCATTGTGTAGCTTTGAGCTGTTTTGCTGCCATTATAACACGGAAACTAACTGAAAAAAATTAAAATCTTTATATCTCTAAAGCATGTATAAGACATATGATATGCCTGCATATCACAGTTGCAAGAAACATAACCTAAAATTGGTTCAATACTTTTTTAAATATCAATTTTTGGTCCTTATTGTATGTTTTTTTTATCTGCAGCCTAATGTTCTTGTTTGATACTTTTCAGAGTAATAATGTTTAAAAAATAAAGAGTCGCCGAAAAAACAAAGGTGTAAAAATAGGAAAAATCATAAAGCAAGAAACCTGATATCCTTAGGACTTCGGTAGATATTCCTTCATTTTTGGTATGAATTTTATTTAATTTAGATGTCAGCATAGTCAACTGTGTGGATACATGTGTGTGTAAAGCGAGAGGATCGGTTTCAAAGAAGACTTGATTAGGGGCTTGTGTTGTGGTGAGTTATTTTTGTATTAGGTTAAAAATAATGTTGAAAGTCTTGGCTTTACACTTATAGGAAGCGCCATTTAGTAGCCATATCGTTTGCTGTAGAAATAAATTGACTTGTATTCATATATAGTATTGCCTTGGTAAGCTAATACTACTACTAATGCTCTTGTTACTTTTTTACTTTTAGTAACACTAACACTGTGTTAGTATTGATAATAATAATAATAAAATAATAATACTGTTAATAGTAATACTAATAGTATTAATAATACTAACTCAAAATAACTAACCTCTGAATGTTAGTGTTACACCTTAATGTAATAGGCTACACTATAGATTTTAATTATTTTAAACAAAAAGGGTGATCCTACAGAGTACAGTAGTACAGATGAACATATAACTTTTTCATTTTCATAGCTTAAAAATCAAAGTGTCATAACAATATTATTATTAGTAACCATAGTATTAGTACTATTAATACTGTCTTAATTTATTTATCAATAATAACATTGCTAAACTAGTAGTATTATTATTACCATGTGTATTTTATTAAAACATTCACAAAGTAAATGTGAGAAGTTTACTTACTTAAATAGAGTATTATGAATAAGTTTCTTACATGTACTTTACATAGTTCTGAAATTCACATGGAATAATAGCACTAGTAGCTAATGTTTATTAACTTCTGATCAGAGCAAGTTGTTTACTTAAGCTAATTAACTATTTTTTTCATACATGATATAGATTAAATGCATTGTTCCTAAGCTGATTACCCTTGCTGTTAATGATATTTTTGCTATAATTAATGATGTACAAATAAAAAAAAAATCCTAATGACAATATTAATACTACTAAGGCTTGGTTCATCTAGGCCACCCACTAAAATATAATTAACTTAAAAAAACTCAAAGCACACCCTTATCATCCAGATATTTATCAATCCTTCCTTAAACCTATCTTGATGTTACTGCATCTGCCACATCTCAAGGTAACCTATTTCAAAAGCTAACCACCCTGTTAAAGAAATAAAACTGCCTAAACTAAAGTTGACTTTTACCTGGCCAAAATTTATGTTTGTGTTCCAAAGTTCTACTATTCTCACCATTAAGTATCAAAATATAAAATGCATCATAATACTTGGAAAAGGCTTGAATGGGTAATGAAGAAAAACTTTAATATAAGTTTAACATAAAAGCAAATGTACAATGTTTCAACAAGGTTTTGTTATCATCAGGTACTTCATACCCCCTCATCAGATCTTTGGATCTGACTCTCTCCTTTTCAGGGGTATCCTTCAGATGCCAGTCCTGGCATCTAATCAATATGGAATTCAAGCTAACAGTGTGAGAGGAGGGAAGTACTGTATCAGAAGTTATAAATTTCCAATACTGAAAATGTATTTCCGATAGGTACTTGCCCCCGCTCACAATTTCCACTTCCTCCTCTGCTTATGTCTTCTGCCAAACCTCAAAGTGATAGTTCGGTAGAGGCATATAGAGGGAGTCACATGCGTCATATGAGTATGTCACGCTGCTATTGGTGGAGAAGTGATGCATGATGATTTACATGAGAGACATGTTGGAATCATTCAATTCCAATAGGGGGGAGCAAAAGACTTGTGGCATGCACAAAGAAAAAAATTGCATATAGAAAACAGCACTGGGCAAGAATAGCTAATCTTGTGAGTGGAAGGAAGTACCTATCACAAATACATTTTTAGTATAGGAAAATTATAACTCTAGTGATCATTCCTTCATTACAGATGTAAATTTAAAAAGATCAGTGGTCCTAACACTGAGCCCTGAGGTATCCCACTTATGACATTAATCCAGTTTGAACTCCATTTATAACATCTTTCTAGCTATCAAGCCACTTTTTAATTCAATGAATCATCTTGACCATCACTCCTATAAAGATAATTTCTTTTAACAAGTCTTTCATGTGGCATCTTGTCAAATGCTTTTGGGAAATCTAGATACACTCAAGTCCACACTTTTAAAGCTATCTACATAAGCATTAACCTCTTGAAAAAATGTAAAAAAATTACTAAGGCAAGGATTTCCCCTTATAAAACCATGTTTCCTATTAAAAAAATTTATACTTTGTTAAATCGAAAGTTTGATGTTTGAATAGAATCTCAGATTTCACCATTATACCTTTCCTTTAGTTAACTTTAGAATACTACTTTTATGACTAATTTACAATCAAGTAACATTTTTATGATTAGAAATTCTGGTTCTGTTTTAATTTAAGCAAGCAACTGAATTTGCTGAAAATGACCTGTTTACCTTTTGTGCCTGTTCACTAAAATATTTGATGCTGGAAATGGGAAACTGTGCTATTTACAATTTCATCATTTCACAATCACCCTCACCACTATGTGAGTTTATTTGAAACTTAATTTCATAAATATATTTAGAATTTTGTCAAACATTCTACTTCTTAGCTTTGTTAAATGAAACCCATCTCTTGCATAAAATTCACCCATATTCAGGAAATTATCCCACAGATCTAAACAGCTACCTGTTATTCTAAGGATATCCCTGAAGATCTTTTGTTTAAGCCTTAGGTTCTGTAAAGAAATTTATTCCTGCGTCTATTTCTGTCCCTGAAACTTTGAAGGAGTTTTTTATTCTTTTTGACCAGCTTATCTGATTTACAATTTCCAACACAATTACTCCAGTCTGTACTATAAATAGAAAATTATCCTTTGTACCAACAACTGTCAACATACATACTATGAATGCAACTGGGCAATTAACTCAATACAATTGATAGTCTGAGCATTGATTACATTGATTAATCAGTTAATGTTTCCAATTATTACAACTGTCCAATAATTGAAATGACTGTTAAGTCAATTAATGTTAAGAAAAGTAACTGATTGAAATTACTGGTACCAATTATTACTATTTTTTATCATTCCAACTGTTCAAGTCTCATGAGAGTAATTGATTAGTTGAATCTAATCAATTAATGAGCTCGATGGTTGATTGATTAGCAAATTACACTAATTATTTGGATCTAACTATGATGCCCTGTACTTAATCTTACAGCAAGCAAATTCTAGTCGTATTATTTCTGTGCTTTCCACTACATATTATGAGTATACTTTCTGAGAGATTCTGCCACTACATAAACCTCTTGGTCAATAGGCTATTTGCACTTAGTGTTGATTCCCAGCCTCTGTGGTTAAGAGTAGTGTAGATGTCAAGTATTCATAGTTTATAAGGTGTGACAGGTGCAAGGAGTGGATTTTATTTGGGATCTTTGGACTAGCATGCACATTTAATAAAGCTAGTAGTGAAGATGTACAATTTGTTTGCAGAGTTTGTAGGCTGGAGGAGAAATTGGAGGCTATCCTAAATAGACTAGAGGCAATGGATAAAGAGAAGTGCAAACTGTGGGAAATGACAGCATGATTTAAAGAGAAGCTTAAGCTTTTAAAAGAAAAGGATACAATCGCTAATGATGATCTTCAGGAAGTTGAAAACTGTACTAATAGGGCTTGTGGTAGTAGATTTAATTATAATGAGCAGATTCTAATAAGTAACAGATTTCAGCTTTTACCTTATACAGATGAGGAACTTGGGGGAGAGAATAACAAAAGGAACAGATAGGTATGGGAATGAAAAACACTAGGTTATTGTTATAGGTGATTCTTTAGTATGGCACATGGAGAAGATAGTCTGTAGAATAAATAGGGAGAAAAACATTGGATTATGCTATCCAGGGAACTGAACAGGCAAGTCTTGAAGTAAAGGGTGATAGCAGTGACGTAGTCTTTATAGTGCACATAGAGGCTAATGATGTAGGGAAGGGTAGGTCAGAGGAGTAATTGGTAAGTACAAGGTATTGATAAAGGCATTCAAAGAAAAGGGCCGTACTCTCCAACTTGTCAATGTGAGATTCTAGTTAAAGTATGAGATCAGATAAGTGTTTCGGAAGTTAACATTTTTCTATTCTCAAAGTGTATTTCCAATAATACTTACCTCCTTTCACACTCTTCCACCCTTCCTCTCCATGAAATGGCTAGTTTTGGATATGCTAATTGGACCGTCTCAAAAGGTGAGTAGGATGTAATAACAGGAAGTTTATCTATGGATCTGGGATAGGGGGGGGCATTGATATAGGTGGAGGGAACACCAAAATTTAACTTGCTTTGGGCAATATAGTTGGATATAAACGCTGAAGCAAGCAAGATAAGATTCATACCAATGCTTAGATGGTCAGAGAAAATAAATTTTCATCAGCTAAAGTATCAGAGGAGGTACGTATTATAGGAAATACATTTTTTGTATAGGAAAATGTTAACTTTTGTAAGTTTTTGAATAGTGGGCATGTACCAGAAGAGTGGAAGTTGACTAATGCTACTCCTTTTTGTTAAGGGAAGTGAAAAAAATTGTTCCAGTAATTATAGTCCTATTAGTCTTATATTGGTGGTGGAAAAGTATTTGAAAATCTGATAAAAGATGCTTTGCAAAACTTTAAAATTCTGTTGAATAGTCAGGAAAGTTTGAGTAGGAGGCAAATCTTGCCTTGCTACTAATTGGATATTCTTGGAATTGGTTACTGCTTATGTGTATGAGCATACAGGTTTGGATTTGGTATATCTGAATATTCAAAAATACATTTGTCAACATACCACATAAAGGCTTGTAAAAAAGTTATCTGTAGGTGTGGGATATAGGTTGTCTCATTGAACAGAAAACTGACTAGATGGAAGAAAGAAGAGGGCTGTTATGAATGGAGTTCAGTCAAGCTGGATTGATGTCATGAAAGGAGTACCTCAAGGCTCATTGGTAGGACCTTTGGTCTTTTTAATTTACATCAATGACATAGATGAAGGAATGGTCTATACATTATTTAAATTTGCTGATGATATTAAAAGTTTTATGTGTTGGTGGCTGTAAGGAGGATGTGGTGTGCCGAATCGTGATTGCTTTTTTCTCTTTTGAGAAAGTCATATTCACTGGGTAAAGAATGTTCTTGCTTATAAACTCTCTC